CACTGGAGATGTGGCTGGTGGCACGGACAAGCATCACCCACCGCTGCTGGGAATGCTGCTCTGCACCCCAAAAAACCTCAAGGATGGTTTCTTCTCCCCCATGGAAAGATTCCAAAGAGGCAACAAAGCCAAGTGCAACCAAAGTGCTGGCATCACCCCATGCCATGTGCCCATCCTGTGCCCCAAAGCAGCAGCATCTGACCCACCCCACCCCCCCAGCCATGCCTGGTGACCCCCCTGTCCCTCGTACCTTCAGGGTGTCCCCTTTCTGAAAGGGCAACTCGTCCTTCTCCGTCGCCTGGAAGCTGTACAGAGCCACCGACTCCATGGCACCAGCTGTCACCGGGTGATGGTGACAAGGGGTCCCGGGGGGTGTGGGGCTGCCTGGGGCTCACCCCCCCTGCGCTGTGGGGTGCTGGGGGTTCGGGGTGAGCACACGGCGCAGCGCTGCTGATGGGCAGGAAGCTGAGCTGATGTCAGCGCGCTGCTGGGGTGAAACCGTGAGTGGCAGGAGGGTGGGCACAGCTGCCCAGATGTGCTGGGAGGGAGGGGGGAAGGGAGATGTGCCAGCCCACCCCGCAGAAGTCCCTGGGTGCGTTGGCTGGTGGCACGATTCGGTGTCACCTCTGCAGCGTGTCTGGTGGCTGCGGGATTTTGGAAGGAAACAGGATGGTGATGGGCTGGACGCAGATGGAGGATGTGGGTGAAGCATCATGTCTGGAGAGCAGGTTGGGAGTGCTGATGGGGGAGTCTCTGGTGTCTCGTAAGGGCTGAGCTGTGGCACGGCCTCTGAAATGTGGCTCGATGGGAAGAGTTGTTTCAGGGAAAAAGAAAAAAAACCTGTGGTGAGTGGGATGGGCAGAGGGGCAGGGAGATGGGGCTGGAGGCACCTGCCTGGCTTCTTTGGAAATCAAACGGAAAACCACATAGCAGGTCCCAGCCGTGGACAGCGAGGTTTCAGCGTGCTGGTGTTGTCCTCTTGGGTTCTGGCCCTTTGGGGGTTGATTTTTTTTCCAGTTTTCTTTTGCAGGGCTGGGGGAAGGCGGGGGGGGGGGTTGGAAATAAACCAACCCTTTTAGACAAAACCAACTTCTTGTAACTCTCCTGGGTGTTGGGCAGTGAGTCCTCAGGGCTCACACGCAGGGCATCGTTCCCCATGGGAAGGTTCCCAACCCTCTGCAGCCTTCCCAGCGTGTGCGTGGGCCAGGGCATGGAGAGCAGAAAATCCCCCGGATACTGGTTTTGCTTTGCTCCTCCAAGGACTTAAACTGGGGACAGCTGTGGCTCAATCCCTGCCCATGGATTTGGACATTTTCCGGTGAGGAGTAGGAGGCTGAGGGGAGACCTTCTGGCTCTGTCCAAGTCCCTTGGAGGAGGGTGGAGAGAGGTGGGGGTGGGTCTGTTCAACCAAGGAACAAGGGACAGGACAAGAGGAAATGGGCTCCAGTTGTGGCCAGGGCAGTTGAGATGGGATGTGAGGAAGAATTTCTTTACTGAAAGGGTTCTGAGGCATTGGAAGGGGTTGCCCAGGGCAGTGGTGGAGTCCCCATCCCTGGAGGGATTTAAAAGCCGGGTAGATGAGGTGCTCAGAGATCTGGTTTAGCAGTGGACAGGTGCAGTTGGACTCAATGATCTCAAAGGTCTTTTCCAACCAAACAATTCTATGGTTCTATTGCTGCCATCACCTCGTGGAGGGACAAGTCATGGTCTTTGAGGGGTCTCTGTGGGGACACCAGCTTGGTGGTTCACCTCTTCCAAACCTTATCTCCGCTTCCCAAGTGCAGCTGAAAAATAAACGCCATGTAACACCCCAACAAAGTGATTTTTCAGGGTCTTGTGGTGCCCATGGGAAGTGGAGAGGGATGTGTAGGGTGGCCCTGGGTGTCCCCACACCCAGAGAAGCCCCTGTCCCCAGTGGTTATCCTCAGCACAGTCTGGGACCTGCTGATCCCAGGGGAAGCGGAGATGCTGGGAAGGCTGGGGAGGGCAGGAGGGGTGTGGGAAGAGGTCTGGTATGTGCACGGCTGTTGTGAGGAGGACAAGACTCAGCAAATCTCCATGGCCTGGTGAGACCCAGGGGACAGGAAGGAGGCTGTCTCAGGGTGACCTTCCTCTGCCGCTCCACAGCCCTGGAGAGAAGCAGAACTGGACACTTCCTGGGGAAACCAGCCCCAGCTGAGCTGCTGCTCTAACCCTGCTCCTGGCCAAGGGCCTGATCCTGTCCTTGTGTCCACCAGCACGACCTGGATGATGGGGTGACAACCTGCCATGCCTTGGATGGACACCATGAGCAGTTTTGGGAACACCATGAGCAGTTTTGGGGACACCATGAGCAGTTTTGGGGACACCATGAGCAGTTTTGGGGACACCATGAGCAGTTTTAGAGCCCACATTTGTTAGACTTGCAGCAGGGAGGCTTGAGAGGCACCTTGGGGTGCCCAGCCCAGAGCCATGAATGGTGCCACGCTGCCCTGTGTGCCCGGGAGCAGGACAGTGGGGTCACAAGGGGGTCCCCAGGCCTTGGTGCAGTGTCTGTACTCAGGACCGGAGCAGGATTGGATCCAGCCAGTAGATGGCAGCAGTATCCAGGGGACACTGGGGACACTGGGGACACTGGGGACAGTGCCACATGCCACTCTCATGCTCTAACGAAGCTGCCAGCCCCTTTGTCACCCCTATCCAGCCACCTCCAGCTCCACATCCCACTCCTCATCCCGTCTTCCCTCCCCTGGCACCTCCCTGCTGCCCTGGCTGCAGTCCCTGCCCAGGAGCTGGGTCCCTTCTGCTCACTCTTGGCTCGCTCATGGCTCACTCATGGCTTGTTGTCCCTGGCTAAGCACACATGGTCACTGCAGGGGTGACAGCAGGACCCGAGGAGTGGGGTAGGCTGGACACTGGAGCAGTTTGTAGCCCCATTTCTGGGCTGGGAGATAAATGCTCCTGCGCTCAGCTGGTTTCTGGGTGCCCCATCCCGAGTCACTGCCACAGGGTGGTTATGGGGTGACCCGATCCCAGAAGGGGAGCTGGGTCCAGTTTGGTGTTTGGTATCTGGGTGCCACCATGCTGCCTCCAAGGAAACCCTCCAAGGGGCCACCAGCATCCTGGTACTGCAAAACTGGGGATGCCCATCACCTCCTGGCCTCCAGCTACTTCATTCCCTGGGAAAACCCTTCTGCCTGCTTATGAGCAGCCCCAAATCTGCCCCATCCCATGTTCTCCAGAGCCCCCAGAAGGAGCCAGGGACCCCCGTGGTGCCCGGCTGCCAGCCATGAGACTGTGCTGCAGAGCCCTGCAAAGCTCAGTCTGGGAGCCAACAGCTGACTAACCACCACCCTGAGACATCCAAGAAACATCAAAACAAGGGTTTTTTGCATTTTCCCAAATTTTCCCTCTTATCCCTTGTCAAACAGCCATATTTTGTCCAGCACATGCTGTGCCAGAGCAGGGAAGAGCCTGTCCTGCAGTGCCAGCTGGGAGCGGCGGGTGCTGAGCTGATGCCTGGCAGGGTGGGATCCTGGGGGGGCTGTAGCCCCATCCCCGCGTGTCCCCAGTGCTCAGAGGGACCCAGGAGCTGCCACGTGGTGGCCATTGGTTGGGTGTCAAAACCTGAAGCCTGGAGCAAGGTGCTGGGTGCTGCAGGTTGTGAGCACCAGGCTGCCTTGTGAGGAGATCCCAAGGGCTGAGGAGGTGCAGTGGCTCACCTGAGGGTGCACAGCAGTGGGGGGGAGGGAGCCCACCCAGGAAACCCACCCTGCCCAGGGTTTGGCCACCAGCCCACGCTGCCTCTCCCTCCACGCAGGGGAGTTTGATGACCTTGGGGACAGGCAGAGGAGGGTGCAGCCGGCTCTGGCATCACCTGTCCCCTCCACATGGCCACCCCTGGGCTGCGTGTTGGATGCTGGGAGCTGTCAGCAGCTCCTGCCCCTCCCGGGTTGCCCCATCGAGCTCGTTTCATCAACATCCTGTGTTTACCTGGCTGCAAAATCCCCACGCAGGAGGGAGGAAGAGGAGGGAGGGGAACCTCTTCCCCTTCCGCTACGAGCCTGGGGAGCTTTTAGGAGATGATCCCAGGCTCCCCAGCTCCTCTCTGATCAGTGTCCTCTGCTGTGTCATGGCCCATGGTGCCATGTGGAGGAGGATGGGAGAGGAGGGAGTGTCTCAAGCCTGGCTTTGCCTCCCGTGGTGGGGCTGTAAGTCAGACCTGGATGGTGGCAGGGCTGGATGGTGTGAGCTGGCTCACCCCACAGACCCTGGTGTGCACAGGGGCTTTGTCCTGGCAGTGAGCGGGCAGAGAGATGGGTCCTTCCCCTCCAGAAGGAGGTTGGTGCGACGTGCCGGAGATCAGCAACACAGCCCAGCCCCAAGACACTCTGTGCTTCCCCTTGTGCTGCTGCAAAAGGAAACCCACAGCATGACACTGCCCTGAGCGAGCTGCGGAGAAAGGCGGCTGGTGTGACACCACGGGTGGTTTTCCAGAGAAGAAACCCCACAGCTTGTTCACCTCCAGCTCTGTCTGTCCCCAGCAGCAAAGAGCTGGCTGTCGGGTCTGCGTTTGACTGGGGATGGAGCTGGAAAGATAAGGTGATGGAGAGGAAGAGGAGATCAAGTGAGGAAGGGAGGAGAATGGGTGATCCATCACACTGGCCACCAGAATGGGTGATCCATCACACTTGCCCCCCAGCAAGTCCCTGAAGACCAGAATAAATTCCCTGCACCAGCACAGCAAGTGGGACCAGCTGGGAACACTGGTCCTGGGCTGCTCATTGGGAACCGGTTGCTCCCCGGGGATGCCAGCAGCACTGGGGCACTGAGAGTGAGGTGACA